TATGGGCAATTCTCTGGTGTCGAATGCGACATTCGTACGCATTCAAACTAAAAAAACACATGTGCCAAGACTTTATTTTAATTTTATAAAATTGAAACGTATAGCTCTTGGTTAGCACTATAATTGGTGCTAAGGTCGATTTTGAACCCTTATTTGTTTTCAAGATATTCACTAAAATGTACTGCGTTCGCACGCGACAAAAATAGAAGTTACATTTGCAAAAAACAAGTTTAAGCTCTGATTTCAGCGAAACGTGATGAAAAATTGTAGTAAAATAAATTTTAATGAATTACGCAATGAATTCTCTTCATAATTTGTTTTGTTTGATTTTAAAATATTAAGTAGTTATTTTTTAAATTCAATTTTAGTCCCGGTCGCACGCGACAGTTTGGAAAGCGATAATTCAAACTAAAATTGTACGAATATTGATGATCGCATATGTCCTTTTCCACTTTTTATTTACTCTTTGGGTTTTCTATGTGATAATAGAAAGCAAAAGTCAAAGCAAAATCCCTTTGTTTAATAGATTGACATCAAAACAAAACATTCAATTTTTTATGCCTTTTTTGATAAAAACAACATTTTTTGCATTTGCGCGTGTTTGACATAGATTTTTTTGAAACTTATTTTAGAAAATGAAAAATTCTCTTAGTCTTGATCATCCTGACCAATTTTTTTATAATCATGTTAAAAATACTCGTTTTTAAGCAATTTTAAGTTTTTGGCCGCGGTGGACCTTTCTGGAGAATTGCCCATATGTATATATTTAATAATTCAAATATATAATATACATACATATTTAAATATTGGAATTAAACGAAGTATTTTTATTTTTGCATTACTTATAAAAATAATATAATTAAAAATAAAGAAAAAAATAACAATATAAAGGGACTCAAGCTCTTTAAAAATGTAAACAAACTAAAATCAAAACAAACAAACACATCGATATGCACATGTATACATCAGCTGTTTTTGCTGCCGTTCTCGTCCCCCTCTCTACCTAACAAGCGGTCTTCAGCCAAAATATAAAATTTAAATTTTTCGTCGTTGGGCATGCGAACAGAAGCTCACACATATTCACGCACACATGCGCACTTTTTTGTTCTGTGTTTACTCATACATGGACGCATTCTATTTTTAGATATTTACGCTCTCAACTTTGTGAGAGCAGGGAGAGCGCCATTGTCGTTTGAATCAAAAAATTAGCCTCATATTGCAAAACGAATGTATGGCCGTGAGGCATCTTATAAGTTATAAAGTCTTTGGTTGTACTAAATAGGAATTTCCGACAATGGAGGTATTTGGGAACAGGTAATAAAAATGGAGCTACCATTGAAAGATAGAGTCACACAAAGGAATTCAACATCGTTGCATTCCTCGAAGGTTAATAATTCTGTTTGTTTAGTTTTTTGGGTCTGGATTGGAAGACGTAGAAGGCGCAGAGGCCTAGGAAGAGTTATTCCTACTGGACGTATTTTCTATTTCTTCGCTTGGGACTCCTTAACAACAACGTACCAGAAGTTGGTAACGCAAATAGTGTTAAGGAGTTCGTCAGGGACATTTATTTTAAAAGATGAAATATCCCTTGCGTAAGAAAATTTAAACTTCTCCACCTTAATCTTTATTTTAATTGCTCTGGTGTTGCATTGTATAGAGGAGAGAACATCTTCCGATGTTTGATTAGGGGAGATCCGAGAAAATAAAATGACATGTCGGTGGAACCGCTATTAGGGCTTTTGGCAGGGAAGATTGTCACCGTCGAGACATTGTCGGTCGGTATTCCGGGCATAACACCCTGGGCAGATATATTAGTATGCATGGGACTTTGATTGGTCAATATTTGCTACCCCCAGGAACAAAACAGAAATCACCGGCGGTACGGGCACTCCCGTGGCACATTCGGGTGCCGAATCTTGGAATTAATGCTGAGGTCGAGGGCTGTGCCGAGGGAGGCTGCTGCTGAGAGCTCGTTGTATGTAGTTAGGATCCGCCTGCATGCTGCCCACCAAAAGCAGTTTTATTTCGCCTGGGAGACTCATTTAATAGCATACGGCTTTTAAATTAGGTGTCCAGCTTCAAGAACATTTAAAGAGTTTTACGAAAACTCGTTATTATGCCCTCAAAACCGTCCTTGGTTTGCCGCATGAAAAGCAACATTTCCCTTTCTATCACGCGACATCAGTAGAGCAAGCCGATATTTTTGCCAACATCGTCCATCGTCCGAGGTGCAACACAAATACACTTGGCGTGCATAATGTTGTCGCACAACCAGCAGCCGATGGTAAGATCACATAGCTTTATGGCCTTGTTATTGACTTTTGCAAAAAAAACAAGCTGTCCCCTAACGTTTGTAGATAAAGAGAGCGATGGAAAAGAGTTGCAGCGAGAGCGAGAGAACGGGAAAGCGTGGGATATAGATAACTAAAACGTTTAGCTGTTGCGACGGCGCAAGCAAAAGCAAAACGAAGAAGGCACAAAAAGGAGTGAAAAATATGCAATAACTAGCATTAGTAGCACAACTAAATTTGGAAAATAAACCCAATTAAATATACCAATCAGAATAGTTACATTTACACGCGAAGTGAAAGTTGGTGTACACAAAATAGAAGATTTAATTTAACTCGGTGGGTGTTTGCAAACTTGAAAACAAATCGAGAACGCAAGAAAAAAATGTCCGTTTACTTAATGTTTTATCCTCGTATAAGCAAAATGGGTATACTGGATTTTATATGCGTCTAACAGCTTCAGTATATGGCGGTGGGCTTATTAGGATATCCCCAGCAGGAGACAATCGAAATTCCAAATCATCAAATGCAATAGGGGAGGGGGGGATAGAAAGGCCTCCAAGGAATTAATTTCAACGACATCTGGAATTCTTATGGACCTTGGTTTCTTGACTTTCAAAGGGGTTTTAGGCCTTATATTGACTGCATCACTTCTACCATGTGATCAGTATCAACGTTCATCAGTGAAGCAAACTGATTATGGGAAACGTGATGATGCTGGGAATGTGACTCAGTGATCCTTTGCGATGCTGGTATACGGTGCCAAGTTATGCAATCGTCTCCATCCCGCTACCTGCTGCCAACCAATATAGCTCCATATAAACGCGCGATACATTCTGTTGGATATCCATTCAGGCAGAATGTTAGAGTCAGCATTTGGGGATGAGCCAGGCGAGACCGTAGATCCACGGGGCTTTGGGATCACAGAGCTCATACGCTGAGCACGCTTGGAAGCTACTCTGAAGATCTCAGCCGCAACGTCAGTGAATTATCATCATCGATGATTTCCTTAATGTGTTTCATAGAGTCCTTATACGTTAAGAGCTAAGGCTTCAGAACAGACGCCTCCCCTTTGATGGAGGGGCCAGCTGTGGGTGGCGTCTGTATGGCAGAAACCACAAAGCCACAGCCGGGCAGGGTATCCTTCTCCGCCCAATGAATTTTTTTTTTTATTTTTTTAAGAGAAAGAAAAATTTTTAAGATTTTCCAAAAAGACATTTAGGACTTTTCCGAGTGAATGGACAAAAAATGGAAGTTTCAGTTTTTATTCCCCGAGCTAAAAAAAAAGCGAGACGTCCCAACTTATTGACAGTAAAGTCGAGAGTGCCGAGTAAGAGTCAAGACCAGACTATCGAGTCAAAGGAAGCCAACTCACCACAGAAGAATGATCACGTCCTATGGAAACTGTGTGTTGAAATATCGCCAACTAGACTGACAGGAATGCTGCGATCACCCGAGAGCCGGACATTTTGGGACATGGAAAACTACATATTCTGCTGGCATACTAGCTCTCAAGCGATAATTATATATATTCAAACTCTAAACTTTCGTTAACGTTTGCCAGCTAAAATATACTTCCCCCTACTTCTTTAAGATTTAAAGCGCAAATATAAAACACCAAGCCCGCTTATATTATTGAGAGAGAGAGAGAGTGCTACAGTGAGAATCAACATGTTGATTTTGTAGTTCGGCCTGTTTTTTCAGCGTTTCACCAACATTTCCTTTAAATAAAGTAAATGAAAGAGCTTTAGATGTTCTTAAAATTTCAAAGAAAAATCGGAAGAAGTACGAAATGTATATATTTAAAATAAGATGAGAATGCGTTTAGAAGTGGAAGGATTATAAATTTCTTAAAAGAATTTTTCGATATTTCCAATGACAACTATATGATATACATAGTTGTATGATCCGACCGGTTCCTACATCCTAGTGAGAATAAAAGGAAGACTAGTGCAAAGTTTCATCCAGATAACTTTAAAACAGAGACTAGTTTGAATAGAAACGGACAGACGGGCATAGCTAGATTTAGTCGACTGTTGATAGTGATAAAGTATGTACATATGTATTTAATATAAATGGTCGGAATACTAAAAAGGCTTTCTATAATAAAAATAAATACACATAGTAAGTTGTCAGAATAAAATATATATATAATTAAAAAAAACTAAAACCATTTTCATTCCAACAATACTTTGCATGTTGCCCTACGTCTAGAATAAAGTTTGATTGGTGGTTTATCCTAAACTAAGACTTAGCCAACCATTCAATAACTGCCGACGAACATAACAACAATAATGGTGGAATTGGCTTCTGCGGAACTAATACGAGTAAGTTACCAACTGTTTTGGCTATTCAACAACAGAAAATCGCCTACCTGACGCTATATTTCAATCATATTGTGTTTATAAAGTTTCTGTGATCGCCTATCGTCTGGAACGATTTGCGACAAAATGTATGTGTTACTGGCAGATTCACGGGTTCCATATAAGTGTATATGCGTATCCATCCAGGCTCTAAAGTACTTTTAAAACTGCAGGTTATAAATCTTATCGTGCTCTTTATGAACTAAAAAGGCTGCGGTTTTAAAAATCACTAGCGGATGCAGTGTGTTAGTGGGCATGAAGCGTTTGCGATCCGGTAAAAACACGGTATAAAATATAAATTTTGTAGTATCATCGTTTTAGTTTTTCCTTTCGTATACGATGATCGGACCAATGCCAAATGGTTTTTGTCAGATCTAACGCTTAATGACCGAATGAAGTGTATAAACTTTGTTAATAGAATTAGTCTCATAAAGCACAAATATATGTAAATATTTGGGAGAACGACATTCAGGATACTATGGCTCGATTTTTACTTCAAACCCTCAGTTTGTCAATTTTAAAAAATGATAAGATTTGGTTAGTCCCATCTACCCATATGTTACACCACATAAGTTTACGCAATACCAGCTTTTTTAACAGACGTAAGTTGAGAATATATGTTTCTGTTTTGTTTTGTAATATTGTTAAGATATCAATATTTTGCATGTATATTTCTTTCATATTTAAATACTATTTCAAAGTATACTGTACTCTGCAGAATCAAACGTTATCAAAAGTAAAAATTAATATTAAACTTTATAAATTACAATAAAATTTACATTAAAACATAACATACTTTTAAATTAAAAATTTAGCCGTAAAAATAAAAACGTATTACACAAAAATAATATAAAAACAAGAACGGAAGTTAACTTTGGCACTCTGAAGTTTATATACACTTGCAGATGGAACTTCAATGACTAGGAATTAATACAATATACATTATACATATATGTATGTACATATATTTATGTTCAAAAACAATGAAGTAATGCCTGCTTTCATTTCATTCACCTATAAATATTATATATAGTTTTACATTCACAGATTTGCATTTTTCCTTTATATCTAAATCTAGAAACACACGATGCAAACAATTTGCAGCAAGTTGATTGCTCCAATCAAACACGATTGAAAAGATTTTGCTGCAAACAAAGAACTTGCAAAGTTTTTTGCAGCAAAATTTGTTGCTTGTCGTTTGTATACATTTTTTTACCGCTATCTTGGTTGCGTCAGTCGAAATAGCTATGCAAAAGTTTGCGTGCAAAAAAACATTTATTGGAGAAAGAAATTTTCTTGCAATATTTGCATAGGTGTACCCATTTCTGCAAACTTTTGCTGCAAATTGTTTGCATCGTGTGTTTCTAGCTTAACGATGTATGGCACCTATATGATATGGTCGTCCGATTTCATAAAATTAGACATAAATTTGAAGAATAATATTAAATGGCTATATCTCAAATTTGATAAAATTCTGTTGAAAACTGAAAAAGTTGTAATATTTATGTTAAAGACAAGACAATTCATCGATGATTCATCAACAATTTATCGATGATTCATCAACAAAATGCCTTTTGGGAAATATATAGTCAGACAAAAAAAATTAAATTAAAATAAGTGGTAATTATAGTTAGATAACTTAAATAATTTGTCCCCCAATGCAAGCGCTAGCCGCTAAGTATTGCTGTGACGTCATAAGCAAGTGAGCCGCTGCTTCGGCCCACTGGCTGTGGCCGTCCGAAACCTATGAAAAAGACTCTGCGAACAGAAATTTGCACGCGCATACAAACGTGCGAGCGCTTGTACACATATACACAGAAACGAGAGCACAGCGCAAAGAAACGCACCCCTGCTCATCGTTCCACGGTCGATCTGCCACTGATAGGTGAATTCTTGTTGTGCTCGGTTTCGAACAAATGCTTCGAACTCGAAAAAGCCGAACGCACTCTGAGGTTCTAGACATATCGTTCGGGTGCTCTGGGGTTCCAGGCTCAGCCGTTTTTGTGATAGTACTTTTTGGTACTGTTTGACTCCTCTATGTATTTCTTGCTTAGTGCTAAAACTCTTACACAATAATTTAAATTTTACCAAATGTAATGTTTTTTAACTTCTCGGTAGAAGTTCGACACGTTGATAATTGTTGATGAAAGTGGTGACAGTGACAGTGGCCTATTGATGACATGTGGCACTGCAGGGCATACACAAGTAAAAATCGAACCAATTGATTTATATATAAAATATTCATCCATTTAAAGTCAAAAACAGGATTTTTTGCTGGACGGTCAGATATTTTCTGTAAGTCAGTCCCAATATCAAGAGTCACATCAAAAATTTATTGGTAGAGATCTTCGGATTACATCAGAGGCGCCACCCTGGCTGAACTGACTTACCGGATCTGAGACAAAGCTAAGATAGAGCAAGCGCTCCAAAGAATTTCGTTCATGGTTTACTTGAGACAGCGAAAGCTGTCGATGTTTTGACATTGGAGGTATGTAGGAACAAGTAGTGAAAGTGAAACTACCATTGATAGATAGCTTCCAGCAGAGGAATGCGTGATGAGTTGCAGTCAACTCCACTCCCACGCCTGATAGGGCGATCTAGCTGATGTACAGTGCACACAGCTGGAAAATCTTCGGCAAACATGAATGTTCTAGATTTTAACCACAAGCTTTTAAGGATTGGCCTTGTGATTTTTTGATGGTCATGGCAAATGCATGACGTATCGGAAATTGAAGTCTTTTAAATTCGAACGGCATATCGGTTGGGATCACCGGGATCTCGGAATAAGAACTTCCTCACCTCTGAATTTTCCAATCTTTATCGTAGCGTAAATTACACAATCATCAATTTTCTAACCACCAAACGCGTACCGTTGCACAGTTTGTTATACCACGTTTTATAGTGACTGACGTTTCATGTCAAGTTACACGGGATCGTTGTCGAATGGGATAAAAAGTATCTCATGTCCGTCTCCTGGCTCTAAGCTACCTCCCTACCAATTTTCGCACAAATTTGTTCTGACGTTCTTGTGTTATAAGTGGTGCAACTAACACGACTTTCTTTTATATATATATATAGATATAGATCTGTTATATTATATTATTTTTTTGTCAACTGAATTAAATAATTGTAAATACACATCGTATAATAATGAATTTACATGATATTTTTTTTGTTAATTAGCATAATTAATATATTCAATAATTTAAATATGGTCAATTCTCCAAAAAGGTCCGCCGCGGCCAAAAGTTAAAAGTTTTTAAAAATGACTATTTTTAACATTGCTACAAAAAAAATTTATGTAATTTTTATAAAAGAAAAAGTCACAAAATCTAGAGCTAACTAATTATAGTGCTAGCCTGTAAGTTTCAAATTTTGTAAAATTAAAATAAAGTCTCGGCACATGTTTTTTTTTAATTTGAAAGCGTATAAATGTCGCATTTAAAATCAGATAATATACATACAAATTTATATATTCTGTATGTACATTTAATTTGAAAATACATTTTAGCCAAATGATTTTCTGGAAATAAATAAAACGCGACTGAAGTTTACCTCTATGATGGTGTGGAAACGATTTAAACCAATATTTATTATGGACTCTATATTTTGTTATTATTTGTAAGATAATTGTGACATAAATATAAAGTTTAAGTTACATATTTGAATTAAACACTAAGGAAAACAATAAAAATTAAAATTAAGTAAAAATCCAAGCTTAATTCAAAACAAAAAAACACATTGATATGCACATGTGTTCAAAAACTGTGGAATACATGTTTGGGATCAGCTGTTTCTTCTGCCTTTCTCGGCCCCTCTCTACATAACAAGCGGTCAGTAGCACAAAATAAATAAATTTTTTCGTCGTTTTTCGCACTTGCTTGTTCTTGTGATTTCTATTTTGTCCCCTGGGGGTCGCAAATATTGACCCCTCAAAGTTCCGTGTATACCGATATATCTGCCCAGGGTGTTAGGCCCGGAATACCGGCCGACAATGGTACGGCAGATAACCAATCTACCTTTTCAAAAGCCCTAATAGCGGTTCCACCGTCGAGGCATATTTTTGTTTCGCTGCTTTCCCCTGATCAAACATCGGAAGATGTTCTCGCCTTTATACAAGGCAACACCAGAGCCGATTAAATAAAGATTAAGGTGGAAAAGTTTAAATTTTCTTACGCTAGGGATATTTCATCTTTTAAAATAAATGTTGTAACAGGCCAATTAATATAAGTAGACTATGGGCACACTATTCGTTGAGATACGCTCTCTCGAGAGAGCATGTTACTCTCTCGAGGATGGGCCTCTCTCAGAATAAGGGGTTGAAGAGAAGCTGACTGCGAGCGGCAGATGACTGTTTAAGAAGAGCCGAATAAGATAAGACGTGACAAATAAAAGTATAAAACAGTATTTTGAACAATTAAGAACAGAATAAAATAATTAATAAAGAAAGTTATTGACACTAACATTCGGTCACAATCTCAGAAGTGGGATCGGGAAAAATTGTTTTGCTGTTTTGTATAAACGTTAAAAAAATGGATTTAGACATAAAAGAAGTGACTGTGACTCAGCTTAAAAAGTGTCTGAACTTACCTACGAAGGGATCAAAAGTTGATCTGCGGTTCCACCTGAAAGACGCGGCAGTGCTCCAGTAATAAGCCAGGAGGAGCAGGAAATAGGGGATGTTGATGCGGAAGCGGCATTGTTGGAGCAGCGTGTGCAGAAAAACAGAAAAAGCGAACGGAACTGGATCTAGGCATGGAAACTATGGACGAGCTTCACCAATAAATCGAGAAGGTTCTTGGAATCCTCCAACAGCAGATCGACAGCTTTGGTTCGAGAAATGCCGTCGCGTGACCGAGCGGCGCCAGAATTGAGGCGTCTGAGTATAACGGCGACATGTTCAAACAAGCAGGCTAGCGGGGCTTGTCGAATGAGGTAGAGGATAACGAAAGAGAGACCAGCGAGAATTCCGGGAATTTTCAACGTCTTGACAACGGACAAAACGGGGGCAGAGGCGTTGGAGATGATTTTTCATCAGCTGCGTTCGGTTTGGCGAGGGAAATCCTAATTGATTTTTCGGAGGCCCGTTCGGGCTTGGGTCTCCCAATGGGAAAACATAGCCAAGTTATATAAGCTATCAGGCATCCAAAGCAGAGTGTTGCTGATTGGAAAATTGAAAGGCAGCGCTTTGCAATGGCTGCATGCGGATGCAACCCGGTTCGGAGGAACGACGAGTGAGCTGGTGGACGAGTTACTTCTTGCGTTTGACGGCAACGAGTCGAAAGCCGAGACGTAAGTTCGAGGAACTGGAAATCAACCGAGGAATTTGCGGTTTACTTCGAAGAAAAGCGCATGTTGGCACGAGAAGTAAACATGGAGGATGGCGAGCTGTTGGATGGGCTTATTGTCGGAATTTCGGCGGAAAATTTACAGATTCAGGCCAAGCTGCACAGGAGAGGACACTGGGCAAGGGAGTGCACTAAGCCGAAGAGGACAACTGGGTCTTGCTATGGATGTGGGGCGATAGATAATTTCATCGGAAAATGCCCCAAAAACAAGAAGGATGCTGCTAATAACTACGTAAGATTATTTAAAATTTTTG